TCGTATTACGATAGCCGTACACCTAATAAAACTCGTGTTCAAAATTTTTTGTCTCTAACCGCAAACAACTGAATAAAAAGAATGCTCTTTTACGTTCTGATAACAGTTTGCGTTTAATTCATTATGACCGCAAAAAATAAAATAACATGAAGCAATGATGATTAAAAAAAACTATTTTTGAAAATAAATAGCTGCAAAAAATGTTTTTCTCAATGGAGTGCACTTCATACAATGTTTTTTTTTTAATTAGTATAATTATGGAAAAACTTTTGTAGAAATTCATGTATTCGCACCTAGATATGTGAAAGTGCCGTTATTAACAAATTCAAAATTAGAAAAAGGGTATTTTTATGGATTGATGCTAATTTATTTAAACTTAAAATTTTTGAGGAGAGTGATTTAAATTAGAGACGTATTGAATCCTAAATTTTCTCGAATACGAATCTTAAAATATTTTTAATATTTTGTACAAAAAAGATAATAAATGAAAACCAATTACTTAATATTAAATATTTTAATTGAAATAAGTTTGAAATCTGCTTTCTGACAAAAAATAAATAAACAAAATCTGAAAGGTTTCAAATTTTAAATTACGTCCAAAAGGGCGTTTTTTTAACGTTTTGTGTGTTACCTTTATGTATACAACGTCATGTTCTTCGCACTTAAACCATAAAAATTCAGTTCAACAGCAATATCGCAAAATAATTTTAAAATGAGCATATCTGTAGAATTTCCTATACACAGTCTCGCGCGCTGGAAAAAAAACTGTTTTTTCCCCTGTACAACGTTGCCATTACTTGCTTTGAAATCCCTGAGTTTGTTAATCAAAAATCAACAAACTCTAAGCTTTGAAAGCGAGCAGTGGAACCATTTCTCGAAATAAAGTATATTTTTATCACCAGCCTGCAAGACTGTTGCCACTCTGAAACGTGAGAGCGAAAATTATCGTTTTCTAAGTTTTTAGTTAATATCTTGGCTGATAAAAGTCGTACGAAGATGAGAACGATCGAAATGGCTGCTCACGAATTTTTGGAATTCGGGGTACCTCTCTCGAAATTCAACTCCCCTCAGCCTCAATTGTATAATCATTAAAAAGTTAGAAATGGAAGTTAGAGAAAGAAATAGATAATTAAAAAAAACTACTGAAGTTAATTTTCTTAATGCCATTTGATAAAATACGTTTGAATAAGAGTAAAAATGATTTATACCTTTTCATACATTTCAAAATTAAAGCTAATAAAGAGGAGGTGGAATATTTCTAGATATAAACATAGATAAATGATAAAGTTCTCTACAGAAAACGTGTGCGTGGTACTCGAACTTGAACTCTACACACCAAATTTGTTCATGAGATTAATTTTTCATAAATCCCATAAATACTCACTTTACGTTGTCATAAATACCATGAAATTATGCTAGTTATCCCTGTTAAAAAAATCTGATGTTGACAGCAGATAACTCACATAGCCTACTAAATTGTACAAATTATTTTCGACACTTCATTTGAACTTATTTCCTCGAATTATTCTAACTTAATTAACTGATTTCTCAAGGCAAGTTGAAAATGGCCTCAAAAGTTGCAAATTTTGAAATTAAATATGTCGACCAGTTTTTGTCGTACGGGAGTGGAACTTCTTCTATTTAGTCCAAAGAGGCAATTTGCCCAGAATGACTATTAATTTCGTTTTGGCATTTTACGTTGATTCACTGTAAATGTTGGTTCACTTTTCAAATTGTTGCCACCAAATATTAGAGCCCTGCATTATATTTAAGGAAGAATCTGCATAAATGTATGTATCTTTCTCGCATTGGGATAAAACAACGGTACCTAGAGACATCCAATTTTGAATAACGTACGTTTCCACCCGAATATGGGCATCTGGTAGCCTGAACTTGGAATATGTTTTATTATCTATTTCATATATTGTAAAACTTTAATAAATTTTTGATTAACAAACTCAAAGATTTCAAAGCGAGCAATGTCAACACTGTATGGGGGGGGGAGAATTTATCTCCAGCGTTCGAGACTGTGTATCGGAAATTCTAAAGATATGCTCCTTTTAATATTATTTTGCGATATTGCTCTTGAACTGAATTTTATAGTTTAAGTGCTAATAACATGATATTTAATAAATGAAGGTAATACACAGAATGTTAAAAAAAATGCTCTTTTGGGCGTAAGGAAACGGAAGATGTCATTAAAAGTTAGATTTCGTTATTTTTCGAAAATTAATTATTTTTTTAATTTGACATTGCCAAAAACATGGATATTTTAATCCTTTAAAACACTTCTGTAACTGGAAGTATATGATTACAATCAAAGATTGCAAAAACAAAGGCCGGTTAATAAATATCTTGTAAGACAGACTTTGCAATTAATTAGAGATGTGTTACAAATTTTAAACTTTAATGTTAGTGTTTAATTTTTGTACCTATTTCAGGCAAGGTGCTTCATCCGTCCCACCCTTGATATATTCTAATTATAGATATAAATAAATAAATAAAATAAATTCGTAATTTCAGATTTTTGCTAACAAAATTTTAAAAAATTATATCATTAATTCAGTTTGTCAAATGCGTTGTCTATCTTTGTGTACTTCATTGCAGATCTGTAAATAATTACATATGACAACTTCTATTTAAAAGAGTCATCCTGTATGCATAATCCACCCCCTCTCTCTCTCCTGAGTCGGAGGCTAAAACTGAAGTTGTTTTCAATCCAGAGGGTATAAAACACAGCATTTAATTTTCCATATTATAAAAACCCATTGCTTGCGCATTGAAGTGGATCATTGAAGAAATATCTCCGCTTCTTAATATATCTTTCAGCAAACATTAAAATTGATACCGTTACCGTAATTAATAAGAATGTTTACAAAGCCGTAAATTTTACACCTTTCATTACAAATGCCGCTTTATTATTTGTTCACTATCATCTGCATCAAATGTTAAAATGCAAAATTTCTTTTGGAGCTCACCTCAGAAATGTTAATATTTACACTATGGGAATTTCATATGCTAGCAAAAAGGAAAATTTGTTTCCATAATGATATTTTCCCCCTACAACAAAAGTATCCATTTTGACAGCTCTCGAATGCAATTTAATAATGTCTTTGCTTGACATCTGTACGTAAGGACAGACTAAAGGACTCTTTTTCCCCAAAACAGATTCTAAAATGGATTTTAAATTGATTCAAAAGGGAATTTTTCGTGACATTTGTACGAACGTATGTATAGTTCATATATATCTTATATAACTCAAATCGAGTAGCCTCAGAACGTTGAAATTTTGTATACAGAACTGCTATAACATGCAGTTGCGCACCTCCCTTTTCGGCTGCAAACAACCTCACCAAACGTATATAAATGTATAAGTTTCCCACTCTATTACCCAATTTTGTGACCTAAGTTTTTATTCTTGTATGTTGATAAATTGTGCATTTTTGGTTTTAAAAGTGTTTGAATTTTATGTTGTTTTATGATCCAGTTAAGGTTTTTATACCTTTAGTTAATCTGCATGCAATAGTTGAAAATTAACATTTACCTCTCCTCTTTAAAATAAAATGAAATTTTATTAATTTTGCTTAAGCTGTGATATTAAATTTTTGTAAAACAACTTCAGAGTATCAAACTTACTTGTGTAAGGCCATTTTATATATATAGAAACCCATTTATATTCTGAATAATATATTTTACCTATAAAGAGAAGAGGGAATATTTACATAGTTTCAGTAGTTTACATATTAATTATTTAAAACTAGAAATATAATTTTGTATAGTTTTATATTTGCCCCTATTTCAGATACGTTTTCTTTGTAGAATTCTGAATTCTACAGTTCTATTACACTATGACGCATCATACTTATGTACGAGTAAATATTTCTAGTTACAAAAAACTTCTGTATTTGGAATTTTTGACGGACTTGTTTGGTTTGTACTCTAGATTACCAATCTGTGGCACTCTTCATGTGTTAAACTGGTTTGTAACGTATGAGACTTCAATATAAATTTTAACGCTAGAAATGTCCTTAAACGAGTCTCTAAAGTTTTTACGTTCCTTTTGTTACGTACGTTTAGGATTTTTACTTTCGATTTTCGACTGGGATGTTAGTATTTGTATATCATCTAATAACGCTAAAAAGCTTTGTCACGAAATGATTTTTTTAATTCATTTTTCACATCCTTTTAGTTTAATTTCTAGAGCTTTGCCATTCCACAGATTTATTTTATTTATCCTGCAAATTTAATCACTATAATTGCTTGACAAACTGAGAAATTTTAAAGCATTTAACTCAATGTTTAATAATTTACATCTTTATTTTATTCTTAAAATCATTTAATTTATAATTATTTTCAGCGTAGTTGTTGTTTAAGATTTTTTCTAAACACACGTATTAGATACCTGGTACGTTTGTGTTTTTTATTTTAATATGTTTATATAGATTTTCCGATGATTAAAGAACCTCGTTATAAATTTGAAGTAAAAAAAATATCTTAATTTTGATAGTAATACAAAGAATACTTAAGTTTACTATTTTATACGCGTTCTGGAAAGTATGACGTGCTAGACATTCTAGAAAATATGACGTGACACAACTTCATAACAATAAAATGTCTTACGAACGCTACATTTATAGATACGCGCATAAGTACTAAAATGCGTGTAAAAAACTACGTCTACATTTCTTGCATACAAGGAGATGAAGTCTAATGGTTGGAATGGTCCATTCCTGAGTAAGGGGGTGCAGTCGGTATTCGAAGATACAAGGGAAGTTCAAAATACTTAACTAATAGACTACTGTATATTCTCCTAATGTAGTTTTTCAGGTAAATTTCCACAACTTCTTTATCCCCTGATTATTTAATTAATTAACAGTTTTGTATTTTTTGGCTTAGTTTTTCAGGAATCTTCCACGAGTTCATCAAGTTATGCATAGTTTGTATAGACCTGAAATTGATATTCCGTTGTTACTGATGAAATTCTTTAATTTATTTTATAGGTTCCTTTGCCACCAACTGGAGAAAAAACTGCTGTCTGTTAACCTTTAAATGTTAAATTTAATCCTTTAATTTCAATACCACAGTTCTGTTTTATCAGTTGCCGTGAAACAAGATAAATTCTCTTCTTGTGGTAAGAAAAAGTTTCTCATAAATATTACTTTTTATTAACTTCTTATCTTTCCACCTAATAATTATTTCAGTTAATATTTTACTGCTTTCTATTCCTATGATAATAGCTCAGACTGAATGTGCTGCATAAATAACATTGATTTTTGACAATTTTCTTTAGATCATTATTAACACTGGAGATTCTATATATGTTCGTGTCAAAAAAAAAAAAAAAAAATGATTAGTACCTAAATTCTAGCCCTATCAGCAGCCGGGTGGTTAAGATCTCTGAGTCAGGCAAACGGGCTAACTGTACAGTAGATTTTCGTGATTTTCTCCACATGTAATGTGACTATGAGCTGATATATCTCTCAGAAAGTCTCTCTCCTCTTAAAAAATAGAACGTAAGCTTTGCCATATTCAAATAACCTAATATAACCTAAATTCTATACAGTGTAGTTTATTTTAGTCTGCTGTGCACCCGTTTAGTTTAGTTTCAAAATTGTATAAATAAAACTGCCAGAAGCATTGTTGGAAAATGATTGGAAAGGCATTACCTAATTCTTATTATCTTTTATTTTTAGTTTATCGAAAAGTTATTTCATTTTTTGATTTATTTTTTAGTTGAAGCTTTCCTTTTTAGTTACTTATTTATTTATTTTTCTTGACTTAAGTATCTTACAATCAAAAACTATATATGTTTATTTATATTCTCTCTAACTTCTTTATTACTCTCAAAATTGTGTCTCAAGTATATTCCTTTCTAAATTAAAGATGTATTATATAAAGAAACAACTTCGCCAAAAAGGTTCATTATTACGTTTTTTATGACTTCACACTCTTTTCGAGATAAGTACTACATGTAGCACTGATCTGTTGTTAATTTTTAGTGTACGTAACAGTAAATCCAATATTCCTCAAAATTTTGTTTCTTTCTCCCTAATTTCTGAGTAATAAGAAACAATTACAGGATGGATGAATAAAGCAGAAATTTGATTTGTATATACCCATTGCCTGATAAAGTATCATATCCTCACGCATTTGTGGAAATGCTCTAAATGAATGATATTCAAACTTTATGGCAGAGCTATCCATACAAATGGCAAACGACCCCAAAAATAATTTCTTCGACCCCAATCAAAGCATCGACCCTTAATTATGTACCATAAATTCAGATTTTTTAGGATTTTTACTCATCTTGCGACCCATTATTAATTTTCCAATACCACTGCTCTAAATAAAGTATGATAGTAATAAGCTACGACTTATCGCACTCGCATTTCCCCAGGTGTACCACTAACTCCGGTCTTTCTTTCCGCCTCTTTTTTTTTAATCGTAAAAATGTAACAAATTTTATTTGACGAAAATTTAACAAGTCATATGTTTTATTCATTTTAAAATCCATTAATTTCATTCGTGTAGGAATACAATGCTATATTAATTGACCCAAATAGTACCATAAAACGGACTTACTTTTTATCAGTGCGTAATTAATTTATTAGGAATTCTGGGGAGGATTTCAAAGACTTTTAATGCCAGTCTTACAATCACATCACACATACACGCACGAAAAAGAGAGGGGGAGGAAGTTGACATAAAAATTCAGTATTTGTAGATTATATAAGAATAATGAACCCTCTCTAAGACAGGCTTTTCAGGATTATTTTAGTTTTCTGTGTGCATGGCCATGAACGGTGATGTTCATTATCGATATTTATTTATGTTTCAGAGGTATTTTTCAGAGGTGGTTCATGTTCTGGAAAATGTTTGTCACAAGCTGGTTCACTGTCTTTTTGAAATTTTTGTGTATTTTTGCCTAACTTAAAGCATATAAAAATCAACACGGAAAAACTGTTACATGTTATCTCGATGCTGGAATTAAACGTCTGCAATTAAAGCTACTTCGATGTTTCACAGCACAGAATACAGAAAAAAAAAAAGTTTTCAAGAATGCCTTCCCGTGTGCAATTAAAGCAGGCAAACAAACATTTCCGCTCAAAGGTAGGAAAGAGAAAAAAAGGGGGGAAAAAAAAAAAAGTTGTTTAAAACTTGGAAATCGTTGACGGGAAAAAAAAAAAAAAAAAAAAAAAAAAATGGAAATCAGTTTCCGAGACTCAACCGTTTTGAAGTCTGTTTGCAACGGCACATTCGTGGGCGTCGCTTATCATCCAGAGAAATAATACTTGCGCCTTTTTTCAATCCTTCTCCTCCGTCTGCCTTTTTCCACATTAACTGCGTCCACAAAGAAAAGGCAAGAGAGGGTAGGCGAGGAGGTAGGAAAAGAGCGAAGTGCACGTCCTACGCACCCTGGTCACGTGGTCGTCTAGACAGCCACTCGACCCTCTGTTTCTCTCTCGGGCAACATTATATAACATAGCCCTAACGTCTGGGCCTACACTGGCTGTCTGGAGAACCAGGTACGTTGAACTCCTTTCTTTCTTACCCCTTTTTTTCCTTTTGCTACTTTTGATTAGATGACTATTTTTTATTGTTTATTGCTTTCATTTATTTGTGTATTTATTATCCTTTTTTTATGCATTAATCTCTGCCTTTTACCATACAGTCGCGAGGCTGGTTTTGCTTTTATTACTTCTGTTTATTGGCTTTTTTTTTACTGTTTTGTTTATTCTTATCTTCCGACGGCAGATAGGAAAATCAGTGTGGGTTGGAGGGCGTTATGTGGGGGAGGAGTAAATGCGCGCGGAACCGAGTTGTTGCCGCACCGTGCACGTGTGGCAGATTTGAAAATGCGCGCTAAAAATGAGCTCGTTGGAAGCCGGCCGCATGTACCGAAGAGTGTTTTGTTTGATCTCCCGCCCCTCAGTCTATGCATGCTAGTCTGTGGTACTTGTACACTTGCGTAGGTAGTAACGGCAAATATATGTCTGATATAAAAGTAGTGTTCTTAACTTAAAACATTAACCTAATTCTGCACACACTGAAATTAACTGCAGTTAATTTTTTTTTTTTTTTTTTTTTTTTTTTTTTAGTTCTTTATATATCACCACCATCTGGCTAGGAAAAAAATGCAACTTTTAGATCGAACAAAAATTTTTGACCTCGTCTTTATATGGAAACAAACATATTTTTATATGGTATTACTCCAATGAATACATTTCTGGTGCCGTAGTTAAGAAACTTAACACTCTAAAACAGAGTTTCTTAAACTATGGGTCGTGACCCCAAATGGGGTCGCGAAGATTCACTTCGACAGTTGAATTTAAAGAAACTACATTCATAAGACTTTTAATGAAAGTACATTAATTAACATTAATGAGATTAGACTTTTATAGATTAATTACCTGTTATATAAAATGCAAAAGAAATTTGCAAGGCTATCTAGCGATTCAACTTAAAACTTGAGTTTTCACAAAAATCGTTGTTGAATTCTGGATCGGAGTTAGATTTCTCACTATTTCTAAAATGGCATAAAATGTTTTTCTCTCAATCCAGTACCACATATTTTATAAAACTACTTTTTCACTTTGAGGCTGATTAAAACCAAATGTCGCTCAACGTTGAAACATGTTGGAGAAGCTTTATGTCCAGCAGTGTCAAATATCGTACCAACATTTAATTTGTTATGCAACAGAAAACAACCATATATGTCTCATTAGAATTTTCTTTAATTTTTAATTTTTTATTTTATTTTTGCTTAAAGTAAATCCTTAAACTACTTCTATATATATATATATTGTTTACCCAAAAATTATTTAAGGCAGGTATTTATTTTTATATCTTTATTTTATATTTGGGGGTCGGGAAAAAAAATCTGTGATAAAAAGGGATCGCGACTGAAAATATTTTAAGAAGCCCTGCTCTAAAACAATATTTCTCATTTTTTTTTTTTTTTCTTTTCTGTTTTGCTACCTGTCTTCGGTAATCCTCGGTATACTATTACATACTGGTACATTTAATTAGTTAATTAATTAATTAATTATTTTATATTTGATTAAATTTGTTTTACTCAATTTTCGCTTATTTATGTATTTATTTTATTGTTTTTATTTTGTTCCATTTATTTATATATTCTTTGTAAAATAATTACCAGCACAAATTATAAACAACGAAACACCATACCTCTTCAAATCTAAGCCACATTCGTTATCCTATACAAAAGGCGATAAAAACAAAGTGGTCATTAGAATAATAACATTTCCAAATTATTAATTTAAATGAGAATATTGTTTTTGTTGATAAATCAAAGCGGATTATTAAATAAAAATATTTGCTACGTGTATTTTGCCTTTTGATTTAATTTTATTACATTCGTTAAGAATTAAAATTCCTCCAATGAATTTTCCTCCATTGATTGGATTTAAATTTGCGTCTTTGACCAGATGACGTCTTATAATCGAATAAATAAGGTCTTCTAATTTCTTTGCAATGAAACACGTATATTAAACAATAATATACGCAATACAGGGGAGTATATATATAATGTATATAGGGATATAATACTGACTTTCCGCGAATTTGGAAATTTTTTGTTAATTTCAGTGAAATTTAGAAGAATTTCTAACATTGCGCTAACATTAGATTTTTCAGCAAATGTGATATGAATCCGCGAATTTCGGATTTTATCTATTATTTCTCAATTGTTATTATAGCTGTTAAATTATTGTTATGATTAAATAATTTTATGCTACTTTGAAATAATTTAATAATGCTACTTTTCTTCAGAATTTCTGAGAAATATACTGCAAATAAATATTCCAAAAATCCAAACTAAAAAATTAAACTTTATACGAGCCTAATTTCTGCTGGATTTCTGAAAAAGATCGTTCTCTGAGTTCTATAAAGTTGACCTCCGATACTTATCAATGCCGACAAACAATTTGGACGTTGAATAATCCCCTATTTTTAAAACCGTACTACTTAATACAGGAAATCGGTTTATGTGCAGTACATAATGTTCAAAAACACCGTCCATCTAATTAGCAGTGTTATTCTAATGTAACAGTATTGAATACGTATACGAAATTTGATTGGTTTATAATTGTAAATTTCAATTAAAATAGT